CTTTGATAAACAATTGATCGTAGAAAAATCGCACCATTTTCAATTTGTTCATCAGTTGAGCAGCGATACTTGGCAACTGTGAATTTTTAGCAAATTTTTCAAACGCAGGAATTGTGTCCGCCATGAAAGCAGCACTGGAAAAGCGTTTGTCATCTTTGCCATAACGAATACGGCCTTTATTTGCTTTCACAAATTCCACAGATGCTTGAAACATTTTAGCACATTGAACGGGTGATAAAACACCACGTAAACAAACGACACCATCAACTTTATAGGCTTGAATTTCCTTCGGTGATACGATAAAAATTTTAACTTCATCACTCACTCTTGATGACGATAATCTTCGCTGCACAATCAATAATCGTAATAGGCTAGGGAAAAGATGGCTCTTTTTCATTATATAAAATGCACAACAATGATATGTAGAATAAAGACGACATTCGGTGTTGAATAAATATCATCAAGATAAAAGCATATCATTTGCCAGATTAAGAAGGACAAAATCTGAATCTTTTAGTGAGTAGGACTCTCACAGAGGCTCTTATAAATTATTTTATTTTTATGTGTACGATGCGACGCGATGTTTAATTGTCTATATTCTCTCCTAATGCATGTATTTTTTTTGCACACATATCCTTATAATCACTAAAAGTTGAGGTATCAATGAAGATTCATATTTTGTCGATAATAAAGGCAACTAGAAGAATCAAGAGATTCTCGTGGAGATTAGAACGATAGAGGCATTCAATAATTTAAATTCAATCAGCGTGTTATGCATTATTTATCGAGTATCGTTACCTTGTGAATTTGTTGCTAGCGATAAGCCACGAATGAATGATATACAACTTTTTTTAATAGTCTTTTAAATTGACTTACATTATATATGGTTATCTGCTCAAGTACTTGAAAAGATACATATCATATGTTAAATATGAAACATGTCTAAGTTCTGCTAAGTCAACTGATGTTAACATGTTTTTTATCCGTCCAGGTATGATGTAAAAACAGTGATATATATGTAATTTGTGTTTTTTTTTATTCCTATATTTTTATTGCGCACACGTTAAGATACTGTAAGACAGAAACTTTTTTATTATTTATTCAGTGCGATCATTGTTCTAGTCTTTTTTTTAATGAACATTTGCACGAGGTGGAAGCGGAAAACATTAAGAGTAGATCCTTGCAATAACTGATCTAAAAATATTAAGAGTCAGAGTGAACCCTTGTAGATTTTCTTACTTTTGGGTAGATACGTTATATACAGATAATTAATATGTATTAATTTAGTTTTATTTGAAACAGCTTGGTTGGCAAGTTATAGAGAATATCCTACTAATATATCATTGAGAAGATTTTTAACTTACACTCTACCTTAGTAAAAATATGGTTTGTCAGTCTAGAAATATTCGGCATCAGTAATTTTGATTGTAATGGAGCACAGTGTGTGGAATACAAACCTGGTTCGTTTAATTTAAAAAACTTTTATCGATAACGCTTCATCTAGACTTTTCCTGGTAAACTTTAAAAACTTTGGAATTTTTTGGCAGCAGATAGGCTTTTTCATCCAACTCATATTAGCTACTCAAGTTACGTTGCAGAGATAGACAAGATGTTTTGTAAAAATTCGATGGTTTTTCATGAAAACTTTGGCGTTATTCTCCAAATAGCGGTTAATATACGCATATACAATAAAAACCATAGAAATATTTTCTCAATCTTGCAAACATTATTCAGCGTAGATCGAAGTATTTGCCAAGTTCATGAGAATTTTTTAGTGTTTTTCCGAATATATATTTACTGACGAGTATTATAGTCTACTTATTTGCGTTTTTACTACAATGAACTGCCAACTACAAATTGAAACCAATAACTTGGATATTGAAATATTGTCGCCAACAATCGGTGCCATTGTACATAATCTTGATTTACCTCATTAACACCATCACAAGAACGTGATTTTGCCCACCTGTTTGGCAATCTCTATCCAACTTTAATATTTTTGCCATATATTAAGGATGTACCTGAAATGAGCATTTTTGAGCATGGCTCTAATCAAAAACTTGAGAATAATGTTCGGCATACAGACACAACATTCATTGAAATCCGCTACTTGGTTGTGTTTTCTATTTACATGAAATTGCGCCAGTTGTACCTACTCAGCCTATGATAGATTGTCAGTGTCAATGCAACAATTTGTAAGCACATTATCAGCTGAACATTCGTATACACAATCATACAGCTATACAAATGGTAACGATACCGAACAATTAGAAAAAGCAAACCGTAAATTTTCACTTTCAGTGGTACATCCAGTTATTCGAACTCATCCAGTTACAAAACGAAAATGTCTGTTCGTTAATATGGGCTATACAACACGAATTGTTGACCTAAACGATAATGAAAGTGAAATGTTGTTAAATTACCTATTTGGTTTGGTAAATAAACCTGAACATACTGTTCTTTGGCATTGGAGAGTAAACGATATTGCATTTTGGGATAATCGATCAACTCAACATTATGCTGTTGCTGACTATTGGCCTAATTGTCGATTTATGGAACGTGCAACTATTATTGGTGGCAAATCATTCTAACTACTGTATTAATCCAAAACATTGATAATCTTTTCATTCTTGATAAAAAAAATTATTGTATTATCCACAGACGTTGAACGAAATTTTGAGACAAAGTCAACTAATCCATATTTACTTAATTCTTACAATTTACTTCATTTAAATTAATTTGTTACTCTTTTTTTATTTCATTTTATTTTATGATTTAGAGTGTGGGGGTGTGAATGTAGACGAAGAGAAGTCTCACAGCAATACCATTTTAGTCGATTTTTAAAAATCTACTAAAAGTGACTATTTTTGGTTCAAAAAATGTCAAAACTTGATATGTCCGTCTGCTTGGGCAATGAAGAATAAAAATCTTAGTTATATAATTTAGTATATTACAATATAAAAAAATAAAAAGATTTTCTACATGCATATCCAAATATTAAATAATAGATTAAACAGAAAACGAAAAAAAGTCACTGTAAGTTTTACATTTATTCATCAGCGATTTAGCTATAGAAAAATGCATCTTTGTTTTCATTGATAAGGTCAGCCAAATAGAACAAAACAATATGTCTATATAAATATAAACAATCATATCTGAAACAGAATAGATATAATAGATATAAGCGTAGACAACTATGGAATATTCGTGTGCTCAATTGAATGATTTATCCGATGAAATTTTGATGATTATTTTAAGAAAATGTACAATATCGACGTACTCTACTCTTTACTAATGTCGATTTTTTTTAAAAGTGCCAGCTACCATTTTTTTAATAACTCTTCACGTCGATAACTATCGAAATCAGGTTCTAGCCATTCGATCGAGTGGAACGGGGAGCATCTGGTTGTATGCGAGTCATTGGGATTGGAAAAGTTTTCTATATATCTTTGCCAACGAATATATTTTTCGATACATTACTTCCATAGTTTCCATAGCAACATAGGCTCACATTATACTAGAATGTGGTTCGACTCTTGCTTTATCCACCATAAAATTTTCACATCATTTGACTTTTTCCTTAAAGAGTTACAGGCTTTGTAAGATATCGAATAACATGATTTTTCACATGCTAAATGAAGATAAATTAGGCATGAAAGTACATATTTTCGATGGCATCAAAACTACTGACATGATCGTT